TAAAATATGGATGGAGGACAACAGAGCTGCTTCATGGAAGAACAACCTCAGATTAGCCTGCTAGCCTTTGTGTAAAAAGGAAGAGTGCAGACGTGTAAAGTCTAACTCAGGTGGCAGCTCTTGAGTAATTTTCTAAATCTCACTGCTAATTTACTTAAATGCATGTACCAAATTAAATAGTTTTGTCTTTGAAATTAGTTTTTATCTTTAAAAACAAGATTGTCCGGAACTGGATTTTCTCAGCTGTGCCAAAATCCCATTGATTACCACTGATTTTTGTACTTTTCTTTTGCATTTTTTCTATGGTGTACCACTTATCCAAAGTCATAGCATGTGCATTTTTAAAGTATAATTTGCACATTTTATTTAAAAGCTATGCAACAAGATAAAAAAGTCATTTTTACAGACTAATAAAGGTGCCTCAGTGCTTATGTGTTGACACCATTAATAACACACAAAAGGTTGTAATCAGACCATATTTTCTATGTTTTTCATATTTATGACATTTTGTTCTTCCTCTGACAGGTTCGTCTGAACTCTGTTCCTTTAGGGTCAGCTGAGTCGCTGCGTTTGTCCTATAAAACCGGACTAAAGCACCTGGTTAAAGGCTACACAGCTTATTTACGCAGAAACATCGTGGAGACTGGAGCTCCAGGAGCGTTAAAGCCCAAACCTCGACCTGCCATCGGGTTTATGAGCTCTGTGATCAGTAGGCACGCTCATAAAGTCAACAACTCCACCCTGCCCAGTGTAACTGTTAACAGCAGCTGTACAGATGGAGCCGGCAAAGACTTTGGACTCAGTGAGCAGAAAGGAAGCAGTAACATCACCAGGGGCGAGACAAACAGCAACACGTCTGCTGGGTGTATCAGGGAGGAGGAGGACAGCTGGCTGGGCCTGTTAGTCATCGAGCCTCAGAGAAAAGTGAGTCACAGAGTCCGGCACCACCCCTGTGAGTCTGCAGCCATCCAACAAGCTTTGCTGACCCGCATTATGAACTCTCAGGACCTGGAGCAGAACCGAAACCTTTTCCTTTACCCCCAGAAGATCCTCCAAAGCCTGGTCAGGCAGAGGGACGACTTTGAGCTGAAGACAAACTAGACAGAAATAAATTTTTGGCTTTTTCCCCCTAAAAACACTCAAATAATGCTTTGAATAAACTCGTACACTGCTAAAAGGTGAAGGCAGATGATAATTTTAATGAAACTATAATGCATATTCATCTAAACCTGAATAACCTTTTTGGAGTCATTCAAACAGGCAAAGATATCTTTACATTAAATATGCAAAGATAATGAGCTGTTTGTGGTAGTGGCTGAGTATACTCACTCATAAAATAAACCATATTTTTGATTCAAATGATGGTGTTTTCCCTTTGTTGTAACTCTTTTTTCCCTTTTTTAAACTAATAATTAGCTAAATGTGTTGTGGTTGTACCTGAGTGACATTCAAAGCATAAACCTGAATTACTTGCAGGAAAGTTAGTCTTGAATATTTATTTGCACGGGCCTGGGCCAAGTACTCAGGACTTTGAGTCACAAGTTCTTTCACAACACGTCATTTAAACACCTCTCTTCAGAACTGGAAATTACACAACTGCAGAAGGGGACATGATGCACCTTTGGGTGACCCAGTTCACAGCCAAGGAAGTTCCACTAAAAAAAAGAAAAATAATTCAGATGTAGAAACATTTGTGTGTGATTGTGTTGTATCAGTGTGAGGCGTGTAACCAGATAGTCCTTAGGATCTTGTTGTTCTTAAAACACTTAATCACAGCATTTTTTATCACAGAACTGATTGTGCTTTGATTATAAAATATTCTAAACATCTCAATGATCTGTGAAACACGTTTAAGATTGCAAAATCCATTTTCTGCATAAAAAGCAGAGTTAGCAGAGTTGTAAAGTAACTAAATACAAATACTTTGTTACTGTACTTAAGTAGAATTTTTGGTTATCTGTACTTTACTTGAGTAATTATTTTTCTGCATACTTTTTACTTTTACTCATTACATTTTTACACAATTATCTGTACTTTCTACTCACTACATTTTTAAAAAAGGTAAAAAGTAGAAAGTTGTTACTCCTGTTTTATTCTGAGATAAAAATCCTCTCCTGATAAACTGTGTCTCCTATAGAGTGAATTTAATTGTGTTTGGATGAGAAGTATAAATATATACCATTCTGACACACTATTAGCTTGTACACAACCCATCACAGCTGCACGCTGTTAGAAAATATGTTTTTTGGAAAATCTAACTGCTCACTTTTACTCAGTACTTTTACTTTTAATAAGTAGATTTTGTGTCAGAAATTTACTTTTGATACTTACGGTAAGTACAGAAAATATCAGCTACTTTATGACTTTTACTCAAGTAATAGTTTTCGAGAAGACTTTAACTTTTACCAAAGTATTTTTATGATAAGATACTTGAACTTTTACTCAAGTATCACTTTGAGATACTTTATACCACCTTTTCCCAAAGTTGGGGTCGGGACCCAAAGTGGGGTCCTGAAACATCAAGGTGGGGTCCTGAAAAGATTTTCTGAATTAATGAGATTTTTGCCTTATTTGTTACAAATGAGTGAAGTTTTTGCCATGGATATTTTGTGGGTCAGAAGATAAAAAGTTTGGGAAACACTGCTGTATACAACACTGAGTTTGTGTTTCTGATTGGAGACTGCTGGGGGTTTTGATTCGTGTGTGTAATACCGGTGTCAGACTGCAGGGGGCGGTGCTGAGCCTTCCTGAGGCACACGTGCCACCAGAGAAGAAGAAGAAGAAGTTAAAAAAAAACCTCCACTTGTGTTTTGTTGAGTTGGACGGTGTCATATATCTGCACATTATGTTTTAAAAAAAGGGACTTGAGAGCTTCAGAGTTAAGTTCAAAGCTGACAGTCCAAGGTTGGTATTTTATTTATTCTTATCTAACTAAAATCTGGTTTAAATTTTTTAAAATCGTAATAATGTCGTAGTGTTGCGCCTAAAACTGACTGACAAAAACCTAACGAAACGCGATAAGCTGTTAATCTGCTTATAAAAAGTACCTTAATATTAAAGTCTATTGTATTTTCGAGCTAACGTGTTTACTTGATTATAATATTTTTCTTTAGTACCCGTACATGGACAGCTCGGCCCTGTTAGCTGCGATGCTAACTCTTGTAAAGTTACAAACATGCTAATTTTCTCGGGCTCATTGATGTCTGTGTTTTTCTCTGAATTTTGCCAAACAATTCATCAATTTTACAACCCGCCTTTTATATATTAATGTCCTTTTAGTGCAGTTGTTGGCTGTGATGGTCATTTTTAAAATAATTACTCAATAACTTCCAGTTATTTTCCAGTTGTTTACAAAGGTTGAGTCAGACACGAAGTCGGACTAGTTTAACCGAACCACACCCACGTGTTCTTACAGCGTGCTGTTGGTTTGCAGAGCCCCTTTCAGCAAGATCATACTTCTTATTTTAATAGACTCATCATGTAATTAATGCAGGGCTTGAAGTCAAGCTTGTTTAGCAGGCAGAGCTACTTCAATTATTTGCAAAGTATCAAACATTAAAAGGGTTATTAACTATATCAAGTGATGCAGTTGTGAAATATGAATTCACACTCAAACAAAACACCAAATCCCTTGAAACTAAGTGGAAACTTGAGCCACTTGATTGACCTACATGAGACTAGCATTAAAATGGATTCATACTGGACATAAAAATTTGTTCGCTGATGTAGAAGAAAATACTTTTTATGCTGCTAATAGGGCTGCAGCTAACGATTATTTTAGTAGTCGATTAATCGAGTAATCTGATATAAAAATTGTCATGTTCTGCAGTAATTAATTAAGCTTATTTTATGAGAAATACAATTATTTAATATTGTGAAGGGGTAATCTACACCTGCTGATGACCCTGCTGCATTCAAAGTAAAATTACACCAGTTGTATTAATTAATGCATTTTAAACTCCATTTGTTTGTATTTATGTGTGTGAGGTTTGAGGAGGCCTTAATTAAAAACACTCACATGTTATGGATTGGAAAACTGAAGGGGGTTAGAAATTTAACAAGTAAAATTGTTAATATAAACATTTGGGTGTTGCAATTTAGTTTTGTAGAGTTCAGTTGTTAATTGTGACAAAAATATATTTTTAAAACTGTTATTAGGTTGGTGCATTTAGGCAATAAAAGTTTAAGTCTTGACTGCTTAGTTACAAATATGACAGTAGTAATGAAGGCTAAAATCATAAAAGTAGCAGCAAATAATTAAAGGAATCCAACTATCTATAAATACTTTTAAACTTGAAACATTTACTCCAAGTATCTTATTTAAATTAAGATAAAATCATATCAACAAATAAGTGTTTCAGCTCAAGCTGTCGATCTGTTGTGTTTTTATTTTTATCTGACAAACTCACAGTAAGTCTTATTTTTAATCACACAACTTACACACTGTTTAATAAAACCCTGCCAGGTCACCATGATTAGTCAGCACAAATAAAATTAGCTTAAATATACCTCCTCCTTGTACRTCTGTAACCTGACAGATTATCACAGATTAGGTAACCAAAGAGAACGTGAACGACACCTGTTGTTACCTCCGGACSTGTTCGCTACATGCAGCAGTGTTTTTGTTGCGGTGCAGAAACATGGCGGACGTGAAGCGTACTGCACGTTGTTTTTTCTGTTTAGTTTTAAATGTTACCATACTTTTTAAATTCGTCATTTCTTTGGGCGCTTCGTTTCGGCACTCTTCGTCTTCTTCTAAAGCTAAATATAGCACTTAGCAAGCATACACGCACAATGCATCGACAGTGTAACTTTTAGCGGAAGCGCTAAAATAGTAGCATTGGTAAACAAATAACATTCCTGGCGGACGAAAGTGCGCTGATTATAACAGTGTGTATTTTTTACGAAGCTTCGAGGCTGATAAATTTGCCTCGAGGGTTTTTTGTAATCGAATTACTCGAATTATTCGAGGAATCGTTTCAGCCATACGGCTGTATCAGCTGGGCTTTGATGAAAAGAAAAATACAACCTAATACCATGATAACTGTTTAAAATACTGTGAAATATAGTTCGGGTCATACCGCCCAGCACTAACAGCAACAATAGCATTCAAACAACAAGCTAACATTCGCTACTTGGCGAGAATCTGGGGTTGGGCCTTAAAATGGAAAAAARTGTTGTTAGACTGACCAGACTGAGTCAGACTCCTTCTGGTAGCCTCTCTGTACTGACTGAGGAGGTAAGRGGGCTTTGGACCCAGCCTCCCCTCCATGTGCCTTTTGTCTTGCCAAGTGATGTAGTAACAGAAGAGAAAAGGCCAAAATTAGACAAAGTAAGCCGATGCTGCGGACCATTAATGTGACCTGGTCGTGSGATTTATTGCAGAGGGAAAATTGTAAACTGAGCTTTAACCCAGCTGAACCCAGTTTTGTTCCATGAACCTCTCGTTTCTGTAAGCTCAAGTCTGTGCGGGAGGCTGCCACCTTTTTCTGTGATTTACGATTGACCAGAGGGGGATTAGAGACGGACCGGTCTGTGCGGTCATTTAGAGCTAGGCGATATGACCCAAACTTTATAGCAACACTTCTGCTGGGTGTATCAGGGAGGAGGGTGTAATTGTTGAAAGGTATTTTCAACAATTAATTCACGCTGTTACAAGTAATTTTGTTTGACTAAAGTCACCTAACTTTATTGAAACAGCTTTAAAATGCCAAAACAAATAAATGTAGGTAATAAACAGGGATGGTATGTAAAAAGTACTAACACAGTTTGTGTATGTTTTCTGCAGAGTTGAACAAAATGTCAGATTCGGACTCTGATGGCGAGTGCAGATATCTGGACGGCGATGTGAGTAATGAGCCGAGGAAACAACATAAAATCATTTTCCTCTCCTATCACTCAAACTTTTTTTATCTCTTAGGGAGAAGAGGTGTTTGCTGTTTATAATCCAGGTGAGAAACATTTATAATATTCAAGACTTTTCACCATATTTATCTAAAAGCAAAGTAATCTGAAGATAAATGCAGTGTGAGTGTTCTTCCTTTGGATTGTTGTGCCTTAAATTAGTCGTCTTCTTTCTGCTTTTAGAGAAGGTTTTTGCTCGATGGAGCGCCATCCCTGTAAAAACCAAACGAGATGCGGCACAGCGAATGAAAGTTTGTGTCTTTTGGCTTCCCATCCTGCTGGAGCCGGATAATTCTGTCAAAGGTGACTGGGCTCGGAGCATAGGATTAGTCAACCCAAAGTAAGAACGACTGCAGCACTCGGTGTTAACACTTTTAATGTGAAGTTCAGATTGTTCAGACGTTTCTGATCTTGTCCTCTCAGTGACAGCGAAGCCCTGGAGCTGAAGCACATAATGAGGATACAAGTTGTGGAATCCATCATGTTTGACCTGGATATATTAACTGTGAGTGGGATTCAGTGTAAAGCACAGGATGTTTTATTAAATGCTACATCACTGATTTATGTACGGAAGYCGAGAGCGGCCGTTTCCTGCATATAAATACTTTTCATATTTATTGAATGATGCACAAGAAAACCATAACTCGTTATCTCGAGAAAAGGCTCGCTTTCGGTTTCCGTATTTATGAGAACATTTATTTAACAAATTTTTAAAATTAAAAGTAGTGTGAAGCTACTGTTCTAATTTTATTTTGGCTATTTACATTCAGAATTGCAAGTTGTAGGATTGATATTGAGCTTCTTGCAGCGACAAAATATGTGAGCCATCAAATCGAAATGAGGATTAAGTCAAATTTGGTCAAAATGACCTAATTACATTTTCAGATTCTGGCTTTAAAAGCTACATTTTGATACCTGGATCATTCTGATATCATAATTAAATCCATATTTATGACTTAATTTGTCTTGTTGGTTACAATAATACATAAATATTTGGTCTGAATCCTAATTTTGTCACTTTAATGAGGAATTTTTGATGTCCTTATAAAGAGGAAACCTCAAATTATATTTGAATATTGAGATTTCCCAGCTAAAAAGAAACAAAACTTTGCTAACTCACAGGGAAAATCTTAAAATTTTAAGTTTTTTCCCTCAAAATCAGTTTTTTTTGTTGCTACTGCTCAAAAAAGTGCTTCAAATTTTGTTTTATGATTAAATTTCAGACAGTTCATTCAAATGATACATTAATAAGGCTTTTATTCATTATGTTGACAAAATGCAATTTTTGTTAACATTTTAGTCAAAACACTGTATTTGCCTTTTTCTCCATACACAACTTTTGGACTTAATCCTMGTTTCGATGTGATGGCTCACATATAAATTTTTTTCAGTTCGTTTAATTCATGTTGTTTGCACATCAGTAAACTTTTAGCCAAATAAAATAAACCACAAAATTGAGATTTTAATGTTTCATCCCATTAAAACATTAATTTTGTTTTAAAATTCTTGTTCTGTTTCAGTTGAAGAAGGACACACTCAGACATATTTTCTGCTTGACCAACTTGATGAATGAGGTAAGTCTTAAGGGCCTAACATCGTCCATTTGAAGCCAGTTGATGCACAAGTTCAGTCTTGGTGCCGTACACTCAAGGTTTCCTCCTGCTGGAGCCTCCAACCTGAAATCCTGTTCGGCCACAAATCTGTCTTGGATAGAGCGTCCAGGGTTTCCGCGGGGTCTTAAAAAGTCTAAAACTTGAAAATCTAGATTTTAGGCCTAAAGTCTAAAATTTGTGAATTAATGTGTTTGTCTTAGATTTTTTTAAACAGGTCATTATTTCGTGTGCCCTCGTAATCCTGCCTCAAGCGCTCAATAAAGTGCTTCCATATTTAAACATGAGCTACGTGACAAACATGCAACGTGTTGCAGCCAGTCAGTTTTTGTGAGAGTCCACGTCACGTGATGGTCCATGGGCAGGAGTAAAAAGAAGAAAACGACAACAATAACAGAAGAAGACTGCATGATGTTGCTAACATGTTGCTAAAACTCGGAACGTTGGGTGTACGCGCGTTGGAGTCACATTCAAGAAGTAGCTGCAATGTGCACAAAACTGTCGATATTCTGTTAATGTCAAAAAACACAGTTTTGCAACTGCAGTGTTTCCATTAAGTAAGGAATGTTATTAAAGTCACGTGAATACGTTTGTTCTCATGATAAGTCATTACAAACATGGCAGCGATGGATGTAAACACATAGCATGTTGCTACCACGACACTAGCGCTCATCATCAGAGGAGAYGTCGGCGTCTTTTATCGAGGCTTTCCAGAGACAAGTCCCTACTTGGGAGCGGCTACGAATGCTGTGTTTTTGGGAAATTGTAGTCGGTGAGTTTACTATTTTATACTACTTCTGTGATATTACTACTACTTCTACTTCCTGTTATCTTCATCATCGTCTTTTTCACCAGTAGAAACAGCCGGTTGTTGATCACGTGACTCCTGTGATGTGAAAAAAAGTGTTTCCATTGCAGTTTTGCAAAAAACACCAATTTTGATACGGCTGAAAAACCACCTCATCCTAGCGCAAAACATTTTGTCGAAAAACGTAACTTTTTTTCGAAATTGACGTGTTTCCATTGAACAAATTTATTTTCTAAATTCTAAATTGCATGATCAATGGAAACGCAGCTATTGATAAGCACGTTAGAGCTGTGAAAGCCCTGAGACAGACGACCACAGCCGCTGCTCCCGCACTGGTCCTTCCTCTCTGCCTCGGAGAGACAACGGCTCAGCAACTCCTGTTAGCGACCTTCATGTTGTCTTCAGGTCGGTGCCTACATTATGAGCGGAGGTTCTCTGGATTCTCCATGTGATGACTAAACATCACTCATACAGCGCAAATGAAGACATTGGAGACTTGTTTCAATCCATGTTTCCAGACTCGGACATCACCAAGTCATTCAAGTGTGGAAAAGATAAAACTGCACACATTACCCACTTTGGACTAGCAGACTTAATGAAAGAGAGCTAATTTMAAAAGTGGCTGCACTGTTTGTGCTCATGTTTGATGAAAGCCTGAATAGAACCACCAAAACCAAAGAGTTGGACCTACGCCTACGTTTTTGGGAGGGGATACAGGTACAGTCCAGATACCTGGGATCCCATTTCATGGGGCATTCAACAGCCAATGATTTAGTGAAGCGTGTTAAAGTAAATGTTTTATTTTAGCAAACGTTTATCTGATAGCTTTAGTTTTCAGATGCAGTTTTGATCAAATAAACCTGTTTAAACTTTGTATTTCTGTAAATAATGTGTTTTATAAGTATAGTATTATAACAAATACTAACTTATATACTTGCGTTGGGATTCGCTGAATTACATTAAAAATTTCTTGTATTTATTAGTGGTAAAGAAATAATAAAATAAATACACCTGTTGATCTCTGTTCGAGGACTCTGTATTGATTTTGTTTTAACTTTTTGGGAAAAAAGGGAGCAGACGTAATTAGATATTTTCTTCTTTCTGCTTCTTTTAATTTCATTTATAACATTTTTATCATAATTAGATGTTTTGTTTTAATGAATGAATAAATACAATTAGGCCCATGTCCCAGTCTAAATAAGACAGAATACAATGTAGTCCACACACAAGCTTCTGCAACATCATGGCTAAATGTTTTTCTCCATTATCAACAACACTGCATGTAAAATGTGTTCATCATTTAGTCTTTTCAATAAACTTACTTTGCAAGTAATTTAGTAATTCTGCATTTCTTCTGTACATTTCTGTCRTGTACGTATGTCTCAAATAGGTCTTAAATTTGATTCATACTGGTCTTAAAGTCTTAAATTTGAGTTGTTGAAACTTGCAGAAACCCTGAGCGTTGAAGGAACCTGTACAGTACCTACTCTCTCCATCCATGGTTGTTTGACTTACAAATGTATGACAGAATCATAGAGGGGCGTAACTTTGTTGTGAGTAACGTTTGAGCCTGAAACTTGTGTCAAAAGGGCGGTCAAATCTGCTCTGACAACAAAATGACAAAAATAGTAACAGTGAGCTGATTTTACAGCTTGGGATGGAGCATGTCGGGCAGCCTTAAGTGTCAACACTACTACCCCCACTAGGGGTGCACTAAAAAATCGTTTTAAATCGCAATCATGATTCTCATTTACAAAGATTCAGAATCAATTTAAAATATCCCAAAATCGATTTTTATTAGGGCTATGAAATTATTAAAATTTTTATTCTATTAATTCCAAAGTAGCTGTGAATTAATCATGATTAATCTTAAACTTAATATAAAACTTAAAAACCTTAAAAAAGCTGAAAAAAATCATGTTTGAGTGTAAATGCAGTTTTCAGAAAATTCCCTGCTCAGAAGTTCTTGTCTCTTGACCTGATTTCTTCTTTTAACATTGTGAAGCTCTACTTAGAACCTTCTTAAGATCCAACAGTGCAAAATTCAAATTCTTGCACTTTTTTGACTGGTCTTAAGATTTTGATCAGGAGCGTATATAAAGGCAATCCAAAGGTTGTCGGTCTCCACTGTGTAACCACTTGGGACATCCTGACGTCACATGGAGCTGTTTCTGGAAGGTATGCATGCAAAACAAAGAGGAAACTACAAAACTGGAGGAAAGAGAGATTCAACTGACCCTGTCTTCATTGAATGCAAAGATTTGGGCTAATTTTGTTTTTTTACTGAACGAGACTGAGTTTGACCTGAGCTTCACTTTGTGCAAAATGAAGATGAAACACTTTAGGAACACAATAAATGGGCTCACATTTAGTTTTGAATGAAAAAAAATCGATTTTGAATCGAATCGGGATCCAAAAAACCTGAACCGAATTGTGAGATAGTAAAAGATTCCCACCCCTGACCCCCACAGTTTTACGAAATGAATTGTGACGACACAACATCTGCTGAAGCTGTAA